GGGGGGGGGGGAGGGGGGATTAACCCTTCCCTATGCTATCCACAACTGGGGACTGCTTGTCATAGCATTATACTTCAGGAAATGTATACAGAAAAAAGATATTCCTAAAAGGAAATTAAAAAAAATATATATTTTAATAAACCAAAAAGTTAAAAAGAGTCTGTCTGTCTGTGTCAAGAACCCCCACTGGAGCCCCATTAAGTTTTTGTGTTGAGAGTTGTGGATGTCGCTGAACCTCTCCTGAATATTCTGGTTGCCTGCGATTCAGTCTACAGTAAGTACAGAGAGGAGGCGTTTGGTCTCTATTGGCCGTGTACTCTGTAGGGTCAGTGACTGATGCAAGAATCAGGGGGAGACACTAGTTTTTGTTTTTTTCCCCCACAAGGCGCTCACCAATAGAGGTTTCTCACAGGATTTGGTACTTGCTTTGCCTGTTATATTGGACACTTAATTTAAACTACTAAACTCAAAGTTAGCCAGGAAATTAGCATTTGCTGGAGGCATTCAGCAATGCAGTTTCCATATATCGCCTTAAAGGAATAGAACAATGGCGCAACCATTCTGATTCCTCCTTAAAAAGGAGAACTATGGGGTTAAAGCTTTTCCCCCCCCATATAGTTCTCCTTAGGGTAACAGGAGAACACAAACTAGCGTCCTCCCGTCACCCTAAGCTCAGTATACCGCAAGCTGCTGCTCGCGGTATACTGAGTCGCCACAGCTGAAGCGGATCCCGACAATTATGTCAGGATCCGCCCAGATGCGCGAGTGACAGCTGGCTCTGCCTATCTAGAGGCAGCTGTACCCGCCCCCTCCCATGCCACCAGTCAGCGCTGGAGGATCGGAGAGGGGAATCCAGCCCCTCCCCTGTCACGGCAGACAACTCTGACAGGATCGAGAAGTGAGCGAACGCCAGTATGCGTTCGCTCACCTACCGATCTACTGAGCCGACCTGTGACAGTCTCATTGTCACAGGTCGGCTAGAACTATGAGGTGAGAGAAAAGCACTCCCCTCATTAGTTCTCCTTTAAATACCCCATGACTAAGTTGATTTGTACCAAATCTACAGGTCAGCAATCCACCCCACAGGCTGCATGCTTGCGCCTGATTTTTTGTACTCATTTTCCTGGAGCCCCTTGAGGAACACAGGAAGTCTTTAACCTACAGATCATAGCGCCACCTGAATGAGGACAGGATACTGGCAATTTGTTGTTGAACCTGTAGGTCCACCACTTGCATCTCACACCTGTGATGCGGGTCCTTGAACACCCGTGGGTGCAGAAAGCACTCGCCAAGGTCCAAGCCCTGCCAGCTGAGATCAGCCTAGCAATTGTACACAAAGGATTGCCTAGGCCAGCAGCCCCTCTCCTCCCTCTAGTCACAGCAAGACTTCAGTTTCCTCCCTGATAATTTGCATACACCACCGCAATGGTGGTGTTTGACTGAAGCTGGATGGTATGCCCCTCCAGCAGGTTGGTCCACTGTTGAAGGTACAGTTAAATCGCCTGGAGCTCGAAGATATTTATTGGGAGACCAGATTCATTCTACAATGAAATGCCCTACACAGACAGACTACGCCAGGCTCCCCTCAGTCGGCTGGCATTCATCATGAGAATGTCCAAAAGATGGGAAGAAAATGCAGCTATGATTATGGCCTCTTCTGGCCGGGCCTGCAAGGTCTGGGTTTTACACCTTGAAGAAAGATTTTAACTGAATCCAGAACCGTGCGCAAACTCATTTTTTTCTATTGTTCCCTAATCAGGATGGTTTCAATCTTTGCACAGAAAAGCAGCTGCAAAAAGGAAAGGTCTTCTCTTTATTAGGGGTCTGTTATCAAGCAAGGCTGGAAACAGCACTGGTAGAAGCAACAAGCTGATCCGCTAGTTTCAAAGCGGCTCAGAGTGCATCAACAAGAGCTGAAACAGTCTCCTTTAACTTGGGAGCAATAACAGTAAGCCAGAACTCCTCAGGAGTAAGCTCAGCGACCGGTATTTCAGCAACTGCGTGGCTTCCGAGCTATGGCCTAATGAGACTGTCTGATTCTAAGGCTGCAGGTACATCGGATATAGAACCTGCAGGATCAGAGTCAGCAAATAACTGGCTAATCTGGGCCATAAAGTCCTAACTGTAGGTGGGAGAAAACAA